GTGCGCTGGAGCCTATCAGAAAGCTCCTGCCGCCTCGGCGCTCTGGCGAATCAGGAGGAAGGGAGGTAGGACGAAAGGAAACAATGCTTTTGTGAGTGGATTATGGAATGCCAATGTCCTGGGGCTTCTTGAGTCCGGGATCAGCCTTCTAAAGAAACTAACTTTATTGTCCTTAGATGGGTCTGTGATAAGAAATGATTACTTAATCCAGGTTTCCCTGTTGCAATCAGATAAGACACAAAGAGGAGGCTGGGGTGGATGTCTGTTGTGGAGAGGTTTGAAAGAAAAAATGGGGTTGGAGGAAAGAGACTTTTTGAGGGTCGTCTCGCCCCCTTTGTTATGTGATTAGAATTTTGCCAAGCGGAAATCCCATTTGATGGCCCAACTCCGATGTCAAAAAGGATCTTCTGTTCTATTTTTCCATGCAAACATGTTTCAAGATAAGAGTTCTTTTATGATGGCTGATGGCTTTTCCAGAGCCCGGGCAGCTTCCTTGCAGACTTCCCCCAAGGAGAGGGGAAGAGGGCAAAAGGTTCAGGGCAAGGTCAAACACATGAAGGGAAATATAGAAATACAGGAGAAAATATGAAAATATAGAAATCCTAATACAGAGAGTAAACCCAACTACCCTCCCCCAGTGTCATAGTTCATATTATACATAGAATCATAGAATCATAGAATCAAAGAGTTGGAAGAGACCTCATGGGCCATCCAGTCCAACCCCCTGCCAAGAAGAAGGAATATTGCATTCAAATCACCCCTGACAGATGGCCATCCAGCCTCTGTTTAAAAGCTTCCAAAGAAGGAGCCTCCACCACACTCCAGGGCAGAGAGTTCCACTGCTGAACGGCTCTCACAGTCAGGAAGTTCTTCCTCATGTTCAGATGGAATCTCCTCTCTTGTAGTTTGAAGCCATTGTTCCATGTCCTAGTCTCCAGGGAAGCAGAAAACAAGCTTGCTCCTTCCTCCCTGTGGCTTCCTCTCACATATTTATACATGGCTATCATATCCCCTCTCAGCCTTCTCTTCTTCAGGCTAAACATGCCCAGCTCCTTAAGCCGCTCCTCATAGGGCTTGTTCTCCAGACCTTTTATCATTTTAGTCGCTCTCTCTCTGGACACATTCCAGCTTGTCAATATCTCTCTTGAATTGTGGTGCCCAGAACTGGACATAATATTCCAGGTGTCGTCTAACCAAGGCAGAATAGAGGGGTAGCATGACTTCCCTAGATCTAGACACTAGATCCTCTTGATGCAGGCCAAAACCAAAGCAGAATAATTCCCTAGATCTAGACACTATGCTCCTATTGATGCAGGCCAAAATCCCATTGGCTTTTTTTGCCCCCACATCACATTGTTGGCTCATGTTTAACTTGTTGTCCATGAGGACTCCAAGATCTTTTTCACACGTATGCTCTCGAGCCAGGCATTGTCCCCCATTCTGTATCTTTGCATTTCGTTTTCTGCCAAAGTGGAGTATCTTGCATTTGTCCCTGTTGAACTTCATTTTGTTAGTTTTGGCCCTTCATCTCTCTAATCTGTCAAGATCCCTTTGAATCCTGCTCCTGTCCTCTGGAGTCTTGGCTCTCCCTCCCAATTTGGTCGTCTGCAAACTTGATGATCCTGCCTTCTAGCCCTTCATCTAAGTCATTAATAAAGATGTTGAACAGGACCGGGCCCAGGACGGAACCCTGCGGCACTCCACTTGTCACTTCTTTCCAAGATGAAGAGGAAGCATTGGTGAGCACCCTCCGAGGAAGCATTGGTGAGCACATCCGAAGGTCCATAAAGGGAAATATATCCCTGAGGGGGAAAGAGGGTCTCTTGTTTGTGAGATGGGGGACCATCAGGAGCCCAGGTGTGCCTCAGGTGGGAAAACTCAAATACCCTTGTGGCATGATTTTCAGTAATAAATTGGCTACTTTCTGCTGTAAACTTATGAAAATAGAGCATAAAGCCTTGATTAAATGATACACACCAAACTGACCAAGGCTTAACCCTTATTATCCAGCCTGGCGTCCTTGCCTTTGGCAAAACTATAAATTACTATCTCTTTTGGGGTGAGGGGGTGGGGTCATGTTCGACTTCAGAGCCAAAAAAGGAACAATGCATCCCAGTTCTACCATTGCAAAAGGAGATATTACCTGGTAGACTCCTCCTTCCAGAGATTGTGCTGGACTGATTGCCCCAAAACGCAGTGTTCTTCCTTCATCCGCTGGCAGGACATCCCAAATGCGTGCCAAGGTCCCTCCAAATCCAAACAAGGATCCTGGCTGCAAGCCTTCTGCAAGAGCATCGCACACTTTTGGCACCCCCACACTGGTGCAAAGGGCCGGCCATTCAGGTCTGTGGTGGGTAAAGGATGCCTGGATCTGATGATGCATCCTCGGAGCCCATTAACCAAAGCTGGAGGTGGCTTTGACTCTTCCCCAGAATCCAGGGCAAGGACCCAGCGAAGCTCCAGCTTCCTTTGGACCCATGGAAACATTTTAGCTCAGAGACAAAAAAGGCTGCCGCCGTTTGCATGGAGATCCCGTTTTTCCCGGTGTTGGGAATAGAACGGCTTCTTGTGATATGCTCCTTTTTGGAGGGGGAGGAGGAGGTGTTCCCCTGGGATCTCCTGAGAGGCAGGACTGGGAACTTGAGAGGCAGGACCAGTGCCTCCGGTCCTCAGGTGTCCCCGTGCTATTCAAACCCTGGGACCCCCAAGAGGACCCCAAAACCTGGAGCCATGGAAAGGCCTTGAGAGCCAAGTCCAGGGCGACTCACTCCAAAGGCTCAAGAGGAATGTTTATGAGGCAGGCCTCCATCAGCCAGACAGCCCGCCATCCCTCTTCACTGCTGCGCCTGGAACTTTCTCTCCCTCTTCCGCTGTTTGTGTAAACACTCAGGAACAGATCATCCATTTGAGAGACCTTGAATGGTTACAGGGAGCACCCTATGAAAGCAGCCCCACTGGCTGCCAAGGAGTTTCTGGACCCAAGTCAAGGTGCAGGTGGTTACCTATAAAGCCCTATACGCTTCGGGCCCAAACCTATCTTTGAGACCGCACCTCTTTCTCCGAACCGGCACAGACACTAAGATCTACTGGGGAGGCCCTCCTCTCAGTCCCACCTACATGCCAAGTACGGTTGGCCATCCTGAGTCCCCCTTGGGGGGTAGAGAAGAGACCGCACCTCTTTCTCTGAACCAGCACGGGCACTACGCTCTACCGGGGAGGCCCTTCCCTCGGTCCCACCTCTGTGTCAAGTGTGGTTGGTGGGGACGAGAGGGAGGGGAGGCTTCCTTCTCACTGGGATGCCCAACCGAGGGAGATCATGTTAGCCCCCACCCTTGGAAGCTTGGAAACTCACGGTCCGATAGACCATCCAGATGTTTACAGTTCAGAAAGAGAAGAGTGAGGAGAGAGAGAGGAGAGAACAAAGCCACGTGGCTTCCAAGTTTCAATCGTCTTCCTTTTTTCATGCCACCCCACGGAAGCGATCTATAGGCTTGTCATCATGACACAGTATGACATGTCATTTTACATGGCTGTATCAAGTGGTCTTCAATGTCTAATGTATTGTTGAAGGCTTTCATGGCCGGAATGACTGGGATGTTGTAGGTTTTTTGGGTTGTATGGCCATGTTCTAGAAGCATTCTCTCCTGACCTTTCACCTGCATCTGTGGCAAGCATCCTCAGAGGTGCCTGTTCAGTGGACACGTGCCTGGAGGAATGATTCTTCTCAGCGCATGTTCCAACCTCCACCCAACAAAGAGGAGCCATGATGTCTTGCCCAACGAGCGGCACAAGGGAGTCGAGCACTCTTGCAAGGATGGGGAGGGAACCTGCGCCCGGCCTGCCCCAGAAGGGTCTTCTGCCCAGTCCAAGGGAGAGACCTGCCTGGAATCAGAGCGATGGAAGGAGGAAGTGTCCTTTGAATGGCGAAATAGGTGTCACCAAATCTGTATTGTGAAATGTGTTTCTAGGTTGTATTAGTTTGATGAGTGTGGATGAAGGTAGGAGGGTTGGTGTGTACTGGAGGGTTGTAGAGAGAGGGTTTGTACATATTGTGCATATTGTGTTTATATTGAGGCTACAACTAAAGAGACAAGCCTTCCTTTTGGAAAGAACAGCTTTGTTTGTGTGTTCTTGTTCCTGAAGGAGAAGACCTCTGAAGGTCCCTGGCTCCTTAAGTGGAGCTCATGGAGTCCCTTCCGCTCCATCAGGGCATTTGATGACTTCACAGAATCCTTGACATGACCTGCCTCGAATTGGAGTGATTGAAAGAGGAGGAGAACCAGGCCAAGGACTGATGGGACTCCAGAACCAGTACTGAATCCCCAAACGGCCTCTGGACCCATAAGAAGGTCAAGGGAAGCCCCTCCAGGACTGAGATGTGGGCACCTGGGGGGCACGAAGAGGAGGAGAGGGAAACCCAAGGAGGAAGCAGGGATTTCAGGGCAAAAACGAGAGCAGGTTTGCTCAACTGAACCTCCTTCAAAAGGAGACCACCTCCTCCCATCAATATTGGGCATATTGTGTTCATACTGTGGATGCAACTAAAGAGACAAGCCTTCCTTTTGGAAAGAACAGCTTTGTTTGTGTGTTCTTGTTCCTAAAGGAGAAGACCTCTGCCACTCCCTGAAGGTCCCTGGCTCCTTAAGTGGAGATCATGGAGTCCCTTCTGCTCCATCAGGGCATTTGATGACTTCACAGACCTGCCTCGAATTGGACCTGCCTCGAATTGGAGTGATTGAAAGAGGAGGAGAACCAGGCCAAGGACTGATGGGACTCCAGAACCAGAACTGAATCCCCAAACGGCCTCTGGACTCATAAGAAGGTCCAGGGAAGCCCTTCCAGGAATGAGATGTGGACATTTGGGGGGCACGGGGAGAAGGAGACCCAAGGAGGAAGCAGGGATTTCAGGGCAAAAGCCAGAGCAGGTTTGTTCAACGGGACCTCATTCAAAAGGAGACCATCCCTTCCCATCAGCCAAAAATGAGTCCAGACTCTTCAGGTTCAGGAGGCTGGTCCATTTATTATTAATGGGGGAGGGGGGAGAGATACCAACGCAGAATTGGGACCCTCATGAGTGGGGCAAGTGGGGATGGTGCAGGGCAGGATGTGGACTTGGATGGAGCAGCAGAGGTGGGCAGAGGAGCTCCGGCCAGACTTCTCTGGTGGTCACTGTCAATGGATCAAGGCCTCCTCCAAGGCCAGCCTGTGAAAAGGAGAGAAAAATTGAGCAATATTCCTGCTTCTTGGCAGAATGGGGTTGGACTGGATGGCCCATGAGGTCTCTTCCAACTCTTTGATTCTATGATTCTATGAATCAGAGGCAGGAGGAGGAGGGAGGTGCAGAGATACTCCAGGCTGGCTTTTGCTATCTTCCCAGAAGTAATGGAGGCCTCTCCCTTCTCATTGCCGTAGACCTCTTCCCTAAGGAAATCCAGGTCTTCCCTCCACCCTCCCCTTCCTCCTTGGTCTTCTCTTGGATACAAGGCCAAAACCTGTGAGGAGCTAGATGGTGATGACCAAAGTGTCTCTGTCCACTCCAGCAGATCCCTCTGTGATGGAGACAGATCTCCTGAGGGACGTTTCTCAACCTTGTTTCCTTCCCATCCATCTTCTCGCTATTCTTTCAGAGAAGGGAGCAAGACCGGACCAGTTTTCAGGCAGGAAAGACAGGGGTGGGGTCCCTGGCATGAGGGTGTGGGTGCTCCTGGATCGGGATCGCCATCCACTCAGCCCTCTCCCTCCAAGGGTCAATGAGCATTCCTAGGCTGGGGGTCTTGCAGCGCAAGGGAATGGCACTCACCCTTAAACAGGATCAAGGCATTTCTTGGTCCATTCCCAGCTGCAGCACTTCGTGTTCCTGGGACAATCGAGATCATAGGAGCATTGTGGAGGTTGTGCTATAATTGGGCCTTCTTTTGGAACTGGGCATTTCCCAGGCTTCTCTAAAAGAGAGACAAACACAGAAGCTGTGAGAAATAGGAAGGAAGAAAGGAAGAAGGAGGGAAGGAAGGAGGGGGAAGGGAGGGAGGGAGGGAGGGAGGAAAGAAGGAAGGAGGGGAAGGAAGGAAGGAGAGGGAAGGAAGGAAGGGAAGGAAGGAAGGAAGGAAGGAAGGAAGGAAGGAAGAAGGAGGGAGGGAGGAGGGAGGGAGGGAAGGAAGAAGGAAGGAGGAAGGAGAGGAAGGAGAGAGGGAAGGAAGGAAGGAAGGAAGAAGGAGGGAGGAGGGAGGGAGGGAAAGAAGGAAGGGGAAGGAAGAAGGAGAGAGGGAAGGAAGGAAGGGAAGGAAGGAGGGAGGGAGGGAGGGAGGGAGGGAGGGAAAGAAGGAAGGAGGGCGGGAAGGAAGGAAGGAGAGAGGGAAGGAAGGAAGGAAGGAAGGAAGGAAGGAAGGAAGGAAGGAAGGGGAGGGAGGGAGGAAGGGAGGGAGGGAGGGAAGGAAGGAAGGAAGGAAGGAAGGAAGGAAGGAAGGAAGGAAGAAGGAGGGAGGGAAGGAGGAGGGAAGGAAGGGAGGAGGAGAGAAGGAAGGAAAGAAAGAAAGGTAGAGAAGGAAGGAAGGAAAGAAGGAAGGAAGGAAGGAAGGAAGGAAGGAAGGAAGGAAGGAAGGAAGGAAGGAAGAGAAGGAGGGAAGGAAGGATAGGATAAAATAATAAATAAATAAAGAAGGAAGGAGGGAGGGAAGGAAGGAAGGAAGGAAGGAAGGAAGGAAGGAAGGAAGGAAGGAAGGAAGGAAGGAAGGAAGGAAGGGAAGGAGGGGGGAGGGAGGGGGTCCCCCAAGGGCGATCCAAGAAGGAAGGAAGGAGGAAGGAAGGAAGGAAGGAGGGAAGGAGGGAAGGAAGGGAAGGAAGGAAGGAAGGAAGGAAGGAAGGAAGGAAGGAAGGAAGGAAGGAAGGAAGGAGGGAGGGAGGGAGGGAGGGAGGGAGGGAGGGAGGGAGGAAGGAAGGGAGGAAGGAAAGAAGGAAAGAAGGAAGGAGGGAGGGAACGAAGGAAGGAAGGAAGGAAGGAAGGAAAGAAGGAAGGAGGGAGGGAAGGAAGGAAGGAAGGAAGGAAGGAAGGAAGAAGGAAGGAAGGAAGGAAGGAAGGAAGGAAGGGGGAGGAAGGGAGACACAGTGTTTGCTCTTTCTCTCTTCCCAGAAGTGAGGGAGACCTACCAGTTTCCGTTGCCATAGACTTCTTCCCTAAGCAAGCCCAGCTATTTGTGCCACTCTTCCCTTCTTCCTCAGTCTTAATTTAGTTATATTTTGCAACTCAATTAATTCGTAACCAATTAACTCAGTTCCTACCTTTCTAGATAAAAGGGAATAGTGGCATGTATGCGTGTTTGTTTGTTCCACAAAGGCTCCTCTGTGGCTAGATGGATCTGGCCCAACCTTGGCACACAAACCATTCAGGACTCTACTTAAAATACCAGTTGGGATTTGAGGTAAAGATATCCTGTTGTTTTGTTTGTTGCCAGGCTTTCAGAATATGGCTGTCCGAGGTGCCTCCCGCTGCAGTGCTCAGGACTGAGCAGAAGAGGGCAGTAGAGGATTGCAAGAGAGCGAGACACCAGCCAGCGGCAACTCATGGTGAGCAGGGGACTTTCATAGAATCATAGAATCAAAGAGTTGGAAGAGACCTCATGGGCCATCCAGTCCAACCCCATTCTGCCAAGAAGCAGGAATATTGCATTCAAATCACCCCTGACAGATGGCCATCCAGCCCCTGTTTAAAAGCTTCCAAAGAAGGAGCCTCCACCAGACTCCGGGGCAGAGAGTTCCACTGCTGAACGTCTCTCACAGTCAGGAAGTTCTTCCTCATGTTCAGATGGAATCTCCTCTCTTGTAGTTTGAAGCCATTGTTCCTCATCCTAGTCTCCAGGGAGATTTATCAAGGAGCAAGTATTGTCTGGGGGAAGGGGCCGTTCTCAGGTGGATCAGCAACATTTTGTCTGTAGACCAAATGGAGGAAAGTGATTCCCAGGGACCACTCACCTTGCCCAGGGGGAGCGGGCGTCACAGCAGAGAAGGCCAGGAGAGCGAGGAGGATGATGATGATGAAGCCGGTTGAGGACTTCATGGTGAGGCAAGACCAGTGAAGCTCCAGCTCTGCCACCTCCTGCCTTTATATCTCCTTCCAAGAGAAACTGGGCAACCGAACCCCTGGCGCTCAGCAGGGAACAAAGCACAAAGCCTGCCTTGTGAAGTGACCTTTGTGGCTGGAGACATGGATGAGCCAACCAATGGATGCCAACAGGATCCATGAGGAATGACACAAGGAAGAAGGCTTCCCATCCAAGACTGCCTTCCTGGAGAAGGGAATGCCAGGGCAGATCCGGAGGGAGTTCCAGCTTGCAGTATTTGGTGGGAAGGGACCAAGGTCAGATGGAGTGTGGTGCCCATGCCTTCAGATCCCCTTCCTGAAGACCCATCTGCTTAGTGAGGGGGCTTCTCCTTGGACTGCCCCTCCCAGAGCCCCCGTTAGTCCAACGGGCAGCATCCGGGTTACTAACAGGAGCGACATACAGGGAGCATACTACCCCCCTGCTACGTCAGCTCCACTGGCTGCCGGTCCACTTCCGAGCTCAATTCAAAGTGCTGGTTTTGACCTATAAAGCTCTATATAGTTCTAGCCCAGCTTACTTGTCTGAACACATCTGCCTCTGCGTCCCACTTCGTAACCTAAGATCATCCGGGGAGGCTCTGCTCTCGCTTCCACCAACATTGCAAACGTAGCTGGTGGGGACGAGGGACAGGGCCTTCTCAGAGGTGGTCCCCCGCCTGTAGAACGCGCTTCTGAATGAGATACGATCGACCCCATCTCTCCTGGCTTTCAGGAAGAAAGTAAAATCGTGGTTGTGGGATCAGGCCTTCGGTCAGCAAACATAAAGCAGCACTTTGGTTGAAATGGACTGGAAAGACGATTTATACTGTTTAATTAATGGCTTATGTATTTTAATGATTTTGATGGTTTTTGTTGAATGGTTATTGTATTAATTGTTTGTTTATTTATTTATTTATTTATTTTATTTTCCATTACTTTTACCCCGCCCTTCTCAACCCCCGAGGGGGGGACTCAGGGCGGCTTACACAGCAATGCACCATTTGATGCCTATACAGTTACAGTTACACATAATAAAGTCATAGTTAAAACAATTGAAAATAATTATTACAGTTAAACATACGAAGTAAACAAACCACATTATATGAAACTATTCACGCGTTCAGCATTCGTCTTCCGGGTTCCAGATTCCGTTCCATTAAACATTTCCTAGGCCATATCAATCCTTTCTTTACCTACCCGATTGACCAAACGCTTGGTCCCACAACCATGTTTTCAGTTTTTTCCTGAAAGAGAGGGGTGTGTTCGCTGTTCTGATTTCCCCAGGAAGCGGGTTTCACAAGCAGGGGGCCGCCACCGTGAAGGCCCTGCTCCTCGTCCCCGCCAGCCTCACTTGTGATACTGGCGGGGTCGAGAGCAGGGCCCCCCCAGCCGATCTTAAACTCCGGGGTGGGACGTAGAGGGAGATCCGTTCGGACAGATACACTGGGCCAGAGCCGTATAGGGTTTTGTAGGTCAAAACCAGCACTTTGAATTGCGCTCGGAATTGGATTGGCAGCCAGTGGAGCTGGCATAACAGGGGGGTGGTGTGCTCCCTGTATGATGCTCCGGTGAGCAATCTGGCTGCCTCCCGTTGGACTAGTTGAAGTTTCCGAACAGTCTTCAAAGGCAACTCCACATAGAGTGCGTTGCAGTAGTCTATGCGGGATGTAACCAGAGCGTGGACTACCATGGCCAAGTCAGACTTCCCAAGGTACGGGCGCAGCTGGCGCACACGTTTTAATTGTGTGAATGCTCTCCTGGTCACCACTGAAACCTGGGGTTCCAGGCTCAGCGATGAGTCCAGGATCACTCCCAAGCTGCGAACCTGCGTCTTCAGGGGGAGTGGAACCCCGTCTAACACAGGCTGTAACCCTATGCCCTGTTCGGCCTTACGACTGACCAGGAGGACCTCTGTCTTGTCTGGATTCAATTTCAATCTGTTAGCCCTCATCCAGACCGTCACAGCAGCCAAGCACCGATTCAAAGTCTGGACAGCCTCCTTGGTGACAGGTGAGAAGGAGTGACAGATCTGGACATCATCTGCATATAGATAACATCTTAGTCCGAAACTCCGAATGATCTCCCCCAGTGGCTTCATGTAGATGTTAAATAACATCGGGGACAGAACTGAACCCTGTGGGACTCCACACCGCAACAGCTGTGGGGTCGAACAGGTGTCTCCCAGTAACACCTTCTGGGACCGTCCCACAAGGAAGGATCGGAGCCACTGCAAAGCCGTGCCCCCGAGCCCCATGTCCATGAGGCGCCCCAGAAGGATACCGTGATCGATGGTATCGAAGGCCGCTGAGAGGTCCAGCAAAACTAACAGGGACACACTCCATTTCCCGGTGAAGATAATCTACCAAGGCGTTCAAGGCTGTCTCAGTTCTATGTCCCGGTCTAAAGCCAGACTGTGCCGGATCCAGATAATCAGTGTCTACCAGAAACCCCTGGAGTTGTGTTGCCACCACACGTTCCATGACTTTGCCCAAGTAGGGGAGATTGGAAACTGGCCGATAGTTGTCGAATTGAGTGGGGTCCAGTGATGGTTTCTTCACCAGCGGTTTGATAATAGCTTGTTTTAAGCTCGCTGGAAACTTTCCTTCCTGTAAGGACGCATTGACCACCACCTTCACCCACTCTGCCAAACCCCCTCTGGCTTCTTTTATCAGCCAGGATGGGCAGGGGTCTAGGATGCATGTGGTGGGTCGCACCTCTCCAAGGATCCTGTCCACATCCTCAAGCTGAACCAATTGAAATGAATCCAACAAAACTGGACAAGCAGATGCTCTCGTTACATCCCCAGAGACTGCCGTTAATGTGACGTCAAAACCTGATCGAATCTGCTCAATTTTATCCTTGAAGAATTGAGCAAATCAT